ATAGTTTTGAAAAAAGGAAAATCTAGAGAATATACATTTTCTTTCCATTATGAATATTTTTTTATTTAGAAAAACATCTTCCAAATTGGAGAATCCTGAAATTTAACTCCTATCCAACAAAATAAGTACACAAACAAGTTGTCTAAACATGTTATATGTATTCTTTGTGGCTTCCTCTCTTTGTTTGCACTACCATAGCCTATATCCAAACCCCTGTCTCTTCTCTAGTGAGTTTGTACATTGCTATCTTTCCCAGCAATTGACATGGAAAAAGAGGTCTTAACCTAGCTTCAAATCGTGGTGTTAATTTTCTGCAAAGTCATCTCGTCTTATGCATAGCTGCCATGTCTGGAGCTTGACCAGCTTGTGTGAAGAGGCAAAGGGATTTTTTCCTCCCTTTGGAAGAATGCTCAGCTCTGCAGTATACTGCACAGATACCTGTTTATTTAGAAAGGGATCCAGAGGGAGCATGAAAAACAGAGTTTGAAGAAAATCTTTAGTGAAAAGAGAAGACATTGATTGGTGGGAAGTCAGGATGTTAACTAGAAAAAAAAAATTCTTATACACTCTTACAAGTATATACCTTCTCTGAGCTGGAAGCCTTTACCCAGCCCAATTTCAATATCAACAGCTCTCTTGGAGGCTGTCCAGTTGGGCTGAGAAAAGCTAAATGTGAACAGAGACCCTTTACAGTAAAGCAGGCAACTTTCTTAAACAAGGGAAGGATAAGAGTATAGGACATACAACTAGTAATTTTACTCATGAGTAAGAAAAACAGAATTTTTACTGTTATCTTTTTCAAAATTTGATTTAATCTTTTTAAAATAGTGTTACCTCAAACTGGTTACTTTTACTGGGAGATGGAGAGAAATAGTATTTGACTAGATGAGACAATAAAGAAGTGAATTATTTTTATCATAGTCATAATTTTTGTCTCAGCACTTATTATATGCCATAAACTTATCTTAAAAATAAGTCATGGCCGGCCAAATAGCTCAGCGTATTAAAAGCACCTGCTTAGGAAGACACAGGGGCTGGGAGTTTGATCCACAGGTGTGCCTTGCCAGCCCTGCCCCTGGGGTGCACTGAGACAGCAATTGAGACTGAGCATGGTGGCACATGCCTGTAATCCCAGCACTTGGGAGTCTGTAAACAGGAGGATCTCTACAAGTCCAATCTATGCAGTGAGACCCTGTACACCATAGTACACCCTCTCCTAAATACAAAAAAGAAAGTCAATAGAGAGCTTATGCCTGCTTATTAGTACAGTAATGTGACTTATAATGTTGAGGATATTGGCATAATATAATAAAGAAAATAGGGATACTAGACCTTGGCAATTATGTCATGTTGTCTTTATCCTAGCAGAACCCCCAGTACAATGCTTATTTGCTATAAATGTACTCTTTTATTTTGCTTGGAACATTTGCACCCCCAGGAAGGCTATTTCTGAGGATAACATTTGAGAAGAATTGGTTACTTGGATCTGTAACCAGTATACAGTGTAAAGGAGCTAGAGTGAAAGACAGGAATGAACTTATTTAACAGTATAAGTGGTTGGAGATTTAATCTCTAGTACATGTAGGCTATGTTTTTGTATAATTATGATACAGAGAATA